ACAGTTGTGTTCGCATGCTGACTCCCCAATTTACATATTTTGCTTCACAGCAATGCCAATTAGCCCCAGGTGAGTACCATGCTACCACAGCTACACAGGACTCATGGTAACCCAAGCTAACTCATTCAGAACAAGCCCCTGAACTGTACAGTGTAGTTGTAACCCTGTACAGCCACGTACCTGGTAGAGGGCTTCTGTGTCCTCTTTCCTGTTTGCGCCTTCACTCCACTCTGCCCACAGAGTCCATAAAGATAGGCTGTCCTAGAAAAGAAATGCAAGGAGCCAAAGGGATAATGTTAGAATACAACTAAGCCTCAGTCTGATCTCAGGAAAATGCAACAGATGCCAGGATCACCAGGGACTTTTAAAATTAGTTTAATACAACATTCACCCAAGCTCTCAGCCACAGCTGCTGCACACCTGCTGTGAAATCATCCATCCAACAAAGCTGTAATTAAAATGACCTTTTCCCCTACTCTAGAACCTCAACAGTGGTCCACATGAATTTGCTCCTCCTAAGGTAAAAAAAATGCTGGAAATGGGGAGGACATCCTGCTCTTACCCTCATACAGAGATCTGCCCAAAAGCAGCTCTCCAGAAAAGCAAAACAATACACCAATTCTCTTTGTCTCTCATCCCTATGCCAAGCACTTGAAATGGGGCAATCAGGAAAGCGTGCAGCCTGCTAATCTAGGGTTTCACATACCACCCACCCCTAGGCTTAGCATACTAGGGGTAAGAAAGACCTCTTTTACTGAGGTAACAAAAGCATAGGGCATAATTAAGAGAACACCAGCTGCCCATCAGAACTGGCTTCAAAGCTTTCAATTTAACAAGTTGTGATTTGTATTCAATTCCTTCCAGTAGACCTAGAATATCATTGATATGTTTAACAGTGAACCCATTTCCCTCACTTTAAAGACTAATTTAGCAAAGGAAAAATAAAAAATACAAAAGTCAGAGGCTTCTTACATAGCTAGCTGAGAGTGCCACAAACCTTAGATTTCACTTGCTTGAAGGCTTCTTCAAAACACTCGGCCACGCAGTCACTGTTCAGCTGAATTAGCACTTGCAGTCTAGTTTGCCACATATCCACTGAGGGACCAAACCGTTTGGTTGCACCTGCAGCTACCTCTGTGGCCTTTTCAGAAAGGTTGAGCTCCAGTAACAGCTGAAGCTGAAACAGTGATTGAAATTAATGATCAGGTCAGGTCCACACAGAGCACGTGAGAAAATAAGGCCCTGACCTGGTATTCCTGTATATGCAAAGCTCCTATTTCCTTTAGTGGAAGCTTCAGGTGCCTACAGACCACAGGAGCAGGCCTATCTAGATATAGATATCTCCTTACCCACTGCTTATACAACTCCTCTGGCAGCAAGTTAGATTCGTGGGCTCTGCTGAGCACACTCAACATCCTTTCCAGTCTCTGAAATAAAGAAAAAAAGTGAATTAAATTTACTGCTGTACATTTTGGAGACTCCAACAAGCAGCTGTACATTTTAGGGCTGGGGCTTTCCAAACAGCCTAGTGGATTTAGATGCCCCGAACCCACTCAAGTGAGGATGGATGCCTCATTCCCTAAGGTTCAGTTGAAGAAAGGCTGGCAAGAGAATGGCCCTTTGGCCCCACCCCTGCTCTTTTAAAGACAGATGTGCACAGATATTTACAAAATTCAAAGCACTGATAGTCTGCAGGAGATGTCCTGTCACTCTTAGTCTTCCCTGTTTCCCCTCCACACAACAAGAACTATGGTTTCTAAATTTTTATGTATGTCAGGTTTCAGTGAGATAACAGTGGATGGCTGATGTAAAAAGCCCTGAAAGACATGCATCTAATAGGGAGAAAAACTGATCTTTGATTATAGACACAGCTCCAAGCATTCTAGTATGATATGCAGCTTCAACCCGATGGAAATCTATGGAAGTTTGTTTGGGAATAAGAAAGAGATAAAGGAAGTCAGCAAGAGCAGCATCTTTTGCTATTTTGAATGTCCAACAAGAATTTACCTTCTGTCTTAATGCTTCGCTATTGGTTTTCCGGTTATATCTCTCCAGGCAAAAAGTGACATAGCATTTCCACATGGGCTCTGCAAAATCAAAGGGACAGTCATACATTTAATAAAACCACAACAGCAAGTACATATACCAGTCTTGTAGGGCAGAGTGACTGGCTGAACACTAAAGTACTATCATCTACTTTTTAAATAAAAGTTACACTAGAGCAGGACCACCCATAATTACAGCAAATAAATATTTAAAATGGTTCCTGTCCAAAGTATCCCATTGACAAACAAGAGGTAGCACCCCAGGACAACTGCTTTCTATTAAGATGCAGACCCCTACAGAAGATAGCTCGGGGACCCTGCCTGCACATTTCTTGCAACTCCATAGAGCACAAAAGTAGTGAGCAAACCAATGTCAAAATCAAGAGTTTCTAACCAGTGGGGAGTGAGGTCACAGCTTCATCAAAGACTGCACAGCACCGTTCCTCCTTCTGAGCCACCTCGGATGCTTTTGTCTGTTTAGATGAATGTTGTGAGGATGGCAGAGACCCTAACTCCAGCTCCTGCCGTGCCATGTAGTCCCATGTAAGAGGGTCATCCGCATGTTCAGCCTGCAATCTAACACACAAAGTCCATGAAGTCATCATACACAGGGTTCACTCTCTTGCTGCAGGCATGTTCTCGAGCAGGGATGCTCAATGCCCGGAACGTGGGCCAGATCCGGCCCCCAGTGCTGTGTTATTCAGCCACAGGGCTCGTCATGGATCTGAAAAGTTGTGGGGGAGGGTGACACTGTTCCCCTACTTGCAAATCTGTGAGCCCATGAGGAGCCACAGGCTGTGTGCACTAGACTGGGCATACAGGGCAACATGGGGCCCAAACCCAGTGCATGGGGCACTGCCCTGGTATGTGGGGCCTGGCATGGGTCCAATCCTAGCACATGGGCTGGGGTGGTGGTGCCAGGCCAGGCCCCAGGGTCCAGTCTCAGCATGTGGAGCCTGATCCCAGCACGCAGGGCAGGTATGGGGCCCGATCCTGGTGCACAGAGCTGATGTGGGGCTGCACAGGGACCTATCCACGCATGTGGGGCCATGAGGAGGTAGTGCAGGGCCCAATCTGGCCTATGCCACTCATCTGGCCTGTGATGATAAAAGCTTGAACGCCACTGTTTTAGAGGTGTACAGGTGGGGAGTAGCCACTGGCTGTCTTGTTCCAAGTGGATAATTCTAAACAAGAACATTTCACCAATAAAATAGTTCATCCTCCCATTAAATGCAGATAATCAAATACTGTCCTGTTTCTTTATAAGTGCTCTTCAATCCTGGCTCAGATTTGATTAACAGTTTTAGGAATGAAGGAAGGAACTTTGAGAAACTTTACGTACAAAGTAACAAGGAAAAGAAGTGAGCTAGGAAGTCATTCGTTCCCTATGAGTAATAGTTATTAAGAGTTGTAAGAGTCACAGTAACCCTAAAATAACTGTATTTTATCCACATTTTGTTAACATGTTCTTACAGGAAGCTGGGTTCGCATTTTAGGTACAACATCCTTCTCCAGAAAGTTTGCTTAGATCAGGCATCAAACAAAATATCATGCCCTAAAACCGCTGTTTTTCTTAGGATTTTTTGGAAGGATTTAATATCCATGTTCCCACTACAGTGGCTCTTGGACACCAAACTACCATCCAGGCAGAAATGAGAACAATGTTGGCTTTTAAAAAGAAAAAAAACCCAACTTACTTCTCAAGAATTTCTTTTTGCAAGTCCAGGGTAAAATCAAAGAGCTTTGCAATAGAAAGCAGAGAAAGATGAAACTCAGCACCTAGAAATCAAGAGAACCCAGGTATGAAAGACAAGTGTTAAAATAATGCACAACCCTCACCTTAGGGCACTGTCCTTCTGTATCTTCTTGACTTTGCTCACTGATTTTTCAAAGGAATTATTACTTTTCTAAGCAAGTAAATGCAATATAAAGGAATGTATTTATCCACTGAAATGTTGTCACTCTTATCCATGCATTAAGATAGGACAGGTAAGTTCCCTATCTCTCACTGTCCGCCTGATGTTGGTTCCAGTAGCCAACAAGGCTCTGACCCGAACAACCCTTTTCTCACAAGGAGTTTAATGGAAGGACATAGTACTGCTTGCATGAATGAGGGTTACAAGGTTGATTCATGTCTTTCTGAGTCCCAGGATATTTCTATCATAATTGTAATCGGGATCATACTAGGAAGATCAGATTCACAATGCAAGGAGGCGAGAGGCTTAATAAAATAAGCCCTATAGTTTGTGTCAGTATCATCAACAGATACGGAAGAGATTTTTCTTTTTTTATGCAGATACACTAGGCCAGATTTTATGGAAGGATGCTAACGGCTTTCTTCTTCTGTGTATGAGATGGAGAAGGGCAACAGTTCGTATTTCAACCCAAAGGCTGGTATGGCGGAGGAGGTCCCTATTTGCAGAATGGCTGTGAATTATCATCTAGCGCTACCCACATTACTAGGCACATTGCCTTGTGGGTACAGTGCACCCATGCTGACACTGGAGCCAGGACTACCCATGCAACATACCAGGTAATAGTTTTTCCGAAAAGGAGATGGAGAGCATTAAATTACCCTGGATTTTCTGAATGGCATCCCTGTAAATTATTCGAGCCAGTTCCCCATGAAGAATCTCCTCAGAATAATTGAACTCCCCCTGAAACGTTAAGCAAAGTTAGTTAGCTTCCTTCTGGAACCGCTGTTTTCTGCAGCAAACTAAGAAAACAACACACAGAACTGATTATGAACATTTCCTATCTAACCTGGAGAGACCACCTAACATGAAGGCAATACCTACCCCAGAACACAGAAAACCAATTTAATTGTTTTTTTTGTCAGAAATTGGTAGTTATTTAATAGTTGTTTAACAAATACAGAGTAAATACAAAACTGGAAAATTAAAGCTGTTACTTTCTTGGAAAAGGCCTAATACAAAAAAATGTGCGTGTTCCCTGAAGGAAAACAAATTAATAGCTTACTGGATCTGGCCCCCAGCCTGCATTCAGGAAGCGTAAACGCAGCAATATAAGGTGTCACTGAACAGAAGACCAAGACCCTCCAAAGGCTACAGCTCTCAAACAATACAGTAACACGTCCAGTGAAGTACCACGTACTTCTAAAACCCTTAAGTTAAAAAACACACCGCTTGCCTAGAAATAGTCCCTTTAAAGACAGATGCATGAGGCCACTTACCAAGTCCATCTTTGCTTGTTCAAACTCTTTCTTTTCTCTTCTCTGCTTCTCAGCATGCATCAGTTCCATTCTGAAATACTACAAGAGACAAGGGAGTAAAATGGAAGAGTGAACTTAAAGCACACAGCGCACATCAGCATAATCTGACAGCATTTGCCAAAGCCAGCCCTGTTTGAAGAGCTGTAAATCAAAATTTCACTAAGTCCCCATTCTGATCTAGGAGCCATGCTGTAAAGAGCTACAGTTTGAGTAAGAGAAAATATAATAGCTATTGTTTTAAAAAAAAGTGGGATTAAACCTCATAAAAAAATAATTTACTCAACTATCAACAGCACTCTTCTGATAACACATTAGCAAGTGAACAGTAAAAGAAAATTTGTAGAGCAATTTCTTCTGCTATTTCCTGTTTGATGAGTGTAGGGAAACTGCCCGTTTTGTGTACAGACTCTAAGCCATGCACTTTAGCAAGGGAACATACTGTACTGCTCTAAACTGAATTAACTAGCTTAACTATGCTGAAGTCAGATGAGACACAACCAGCCCTTTTCCGTCACATAAAGAGCATCTTCTATAATAGGAATCTCATGACTCAAAACAGTCAATGACTTTTGTGGGAGTCACTTGGCTAAATCCTTGCCAGATGTGTTCCAAGCACACTCCAGCAGCTCTTGTTGCAATTTGTATTGTATGGGCTGCTTTGGGTTTATACCAGTCCAAGTTCACTTTCAAGAAGAAAAAAGCATTTCTTGGTGCAATAAGGAATGCATGAGATAAGTGAAGTCATGCATCTGGCATCCCCAAGACGGGGCTGAAAAAGAACCTGTCTGGTCAGCAAGACCTTCGGCTGGTTGCCTGTAGGGACCATGAAGAATTCTTCCCCAGGCATACTTTACTTGTAATCCCCAACAGATAAGAGTTTTCCTTGTAGAAATCACAGTATCTTGAGAAAGGTTTAATAAGAATTTCTGACGCATTTAACACAGAATTCAGAATGCTATTAAGCAGTGCATGTATACACAGTCTTGTCTCAAACTATTACTGGTTTTCTACTTATTTTGTTAAGCCACTTCCCACATCTGCTGCAATGATTGAAAACTAGTTTTTGCAAGACCACTCCAAGAAAACGTAACTACACGCAGAAAAACCACTAACTCACTTCCTGATAGAGTTTTGGACATTCTGGATGGAAGCGCAATGCACGAAGGAACAAGTGCCGGGCACTTTCTGATGACAGGCGTTCCTCCATTTCCCATTTTGCAGCCATAATCCACAGTGCTACAACAGAAAACTCACGTTAGTTTGTTTCAATCCCTGGACAGTGAATGAGTGATGAAGAGGAACAATGTTGGAAGGCACTCCCAACGGGGCGTGTCTGTGTGTGTTTATTTTAATATTCTTGTATGTCATCCCAGCAGCAACGATGCCCAGAATGAAGTGTTTGCATGCACTGGGTTTCTGGCTAGTCATCAAATGTTTGGCCATGACTTTGGGATTTGTGCCTGTAGCACACGTGATTCCCAGTCTCCTGACCAAGCACTAGGCAGCCCCAGGATTTATGTAGCATTGGAGATCAGACCAGATCAAGGGCATTCAATCTAGTTAGGTTTTAAAACCGAAACAAAGGGACTTGGTTCATTTAAAATGTTCTACCTTGGAAACAGTTTTTATTCCCTGCTCCCCTCTAGGGAAGGTCCTTCAGGCTGTGAGAATCTCTATATAGCTCAGCTTTTAGATCTATAAGCAGCAACCATCCCTCCATGGGATTAACAAGGTAGGAAATGGTCTGCTGTTACACACCTAACAGACAGAACTGGCATCTCAAAGAGCAGTAACTTGGATCAACACTAAGTTTTGGGGATAATCTATCCTTTTTGCTCTTCTAAATGAACTAGGTTTAATCATTTAAACATGTGATGCTAAAAAAACATTTTACTGTACCTGGCTTGTTTGGATGAATGGCTAACATAGCAGAGAAAACCTTGCTAAGCTGAAATTTCATATTCTGTAAAAAACACAAGAGAACTGATTTACCCATTGATTTACCCATTTACAGCAAACTTATCACCAAGGGTTACTCATTGTAAACCTTCTTGTGTTGAACTGAACAATGAAGAGAAAAAATGATTCAGTACGGAAGGCTGCTAATAGACTACAGCTGTGAAGAAGGCATTTTACATCAATGCCACTGTTTGTAGTAATTTCCCTCTTGACAGAAAGGCTGCCTTTTGGGGATAAGATTTGATCAGCATGGAAGAGAAGATTTTTTTTCAGAATACAAGGGAAATCTATTCTACTCTGATGGTCCCAAATGACTAGCTTTGAAATGCTACATCACTGTATCCAAGACAGGAAATGCATTAGATATCTTTGACTCAGTGTACTGGAGAACACAGCACCCAATGAACTCATCCTCATTGTGTTTTTGGCCACAAACATGCAGTCTGAAAATCAGGCAAGGAGGACAAGTGCTTTGGTGGTCACACACAGTGCGACAAAGCCACCACGCACCTGTGCTAGAGAAGTCAAAGGCTGACAGAGCATGAATATTGCAGGTCAATACTGACAAAATGAGAAGTTTGTACAGTGTAAAGTTGCCAAGATCCAGATAAGCAGTGTGTGAACTGCTCGAGGTTCTCACAGATTCATAATTCATAGGTTGGCTCCCCCATTCTGGAAGTTAACTGGAGGCAGTCAAACAACAGCTGCTTCCCTCAAAGATGCCAAACCACTCCTGCAGCAAGATGCTGCAACTCGTATATGGGATGGCAAGTGTTACCTCTGCCTTGACGTAGGCAGTGCTATAAATTACAATGTGAGCAACAAAACAGCACTGAAGTGAGAATAGGAATTCTGAGCCAAATCCTGCTTTCATCTGTCAGTGAAAAGTCTGAATACCTCCAGTAATTTCAGTAGAGTTATTCCAACTCTAGTCCGAGAAGAATTCGATCCTCTGTCTTGTAACACAAAATATAACTGGTGGTTCATCTAATGAACATTTTAAATGAAAAAAAAAATTGACATCTTGCAGACTCACCCACTTCTTGCAGAAAGCAACATGTGACAACCACAGCTGGACATCCTCCTATTGGGAAAGCAAAGGGGATTAATCAACACTGTAGTAAGACTGCCTCATAACTACCTGTGCCTTCTGCATTTGAAGTGCATCAAGAAATTCCCTGGAGGTATCTTGAGATCCTTTTAAGGGTATTGCAGGGTGCCACACAATGCTTGGACTGTGCAAATATGCTTCACAAGACAAACCAAGTTAAAAAAAAAAAACACTCTGACCTCTGACCTGTTGTGATCTTTCTGAGTTATCTGCAACAGAAGAATTGCTCTATTCTTGTTCTATAGTCAAAAAGAGTGAAAACTAAAAACTGACATTTTCCAAGTGGTGCCTCAAATCTACTGAGGGGTGCCTCGAGCCCAAAAAGATTGAGACCCCCTGCTCTGGATTGTCAGGCCCTAGAAAAGACACCTCACTTACCTTCCACTTTCCTGTGGCACGCTTGAAGAGGCCTTGTATTCTCTGCACAATAGAGTACTCTATTTCATCTTTCTTAAATGAATATCCAATGCGCTAAGAGGGGAAAAAAAAGAATGATAAATTAAATCTTGACAGTGAAATAAAGTTAAACTATTTTAACTATTTATGGCAGTCACCATCCCTGGCAGTGTTCAGGAGGAGGCTGGACAAGAACCTTGTTGAGCTCGTCTGAGCCCATTACCTCCTGCCCATGGCAGGGGACCAGACTTAATGATTTTACAGGTCCCTTCTAGTCCTCCTTTCTATGATTCTATTTCATATTGTGGTTGATCGACTTACCGATCTTCTTTTCTTGATAAGTTCCAACAAATTAATTTCATACTAGGGGAAAGGAAGAAAAGACATTCAAAAGTAACTGAGGAAGCATACAGTAAGAATTTAAAAAAAAAAAAATCTTTTTTTTTTTCTTTTTTTTTTTTTTAAATTGCCAGGAGATGAATACAAGTTGTATCTAAAATGGCATTGCTACCAAGTGAGAGCCACACATGTTTAGGTAGCCACATGACCCAAGGTTGATGGCAATTATGCTGGATTTCTTATACTCAACTGTGAAATTTTAGACACTCGATCAACTCATAGCAGACCCACCCCTGGAATCCTAGAGCTCAATTCACATTTTAAACAGCACAAAAATGATTACACTGACTAACACGGATTTTCTACGGAGCCTCTTGGAGGGCATTTTAAGCCTTACTATCAAGACAGAACCTGAGGCACGCCAAAATGAGGTGACATGCCTGCGGGCACTGGCAAAACTGTGAATAAACCCCCGAAAGCCAGGTTTCCAGACCTGCACTCTACCCCTAGAACAGGCCTCCTGATGTAGTATTATTGTTACTGAAGCGCCTCATCTGCACGAACAGTACCATCAGAGCTAGGACTAGTGTCCAGCAGTGAGGTCAAAAATGCGCGCTAACACGTTCTGCCAGAAACAGTCGAACCCACCTGAATATAATCGATGAAGTCTTCTTTGTGAAGGGCTCTCCTCTGTATTTTGTATTCTAGAGCCAAGGCTTTCTTAATGACAGCCCTGAAGAGACATAAGTTATCAGCTCCCAGACATCCTCTCATGAGTCCCTGACAACTCATAGATGCTAGGGGGCTCTCAACAAATCATGGAGTGCGACCCCCTGTCTAGGCAGGAAAAAGCGGTGGGGTCAGATGACCCCAGCCAAATGCCTACCTGACAAGCGACAGGGCTAAAGAGCACGGCAGCTTACAGTGGCATGGGGTCTGAGTTTCATTTTGCTCCTTTATCCCAAGGGGGCAGAGAGAAACAACCTCCAACAGCAAACA